CTGAAAGTTACATTTACAGATATAATGGATAAACTGACAGTGCATGTGCTTTGACATTTTTCTCTGTTAGGTAAATATGTTAAACAAGATATGATATTTATATCTGTTATTCTACTTTATACGACAGGAAACTTACGCTCAAGTTCCGCACGTAGTAGCTCAGCCATCCTGCCCCGTGATGTAAGATTGGCCACCTCAGCAGAAAGCGTAATCACTTGAGCTGGATTTAAACAACAAGACGAATAGTACATTGCATTGATCTGTACAGTGATTTAAACTTCCAAAAATAATATGCGAGTGTTCAATCATTGTCTTTCATTATTAGTGCGCACAATTTAAAAAAGGCTGACCTGCAAAATATGACACCAGTATGGCGTTGCCCACGAACAGAAAACCCAGGGTTAGCCACAGCTTCTTGCACAGACCGTTACCAATGGTAACGCTGTCCGCTGCCACATGGTAGGCCGCTGTTTCAAAAAAAAAGTATAATGATGAAAGATTATCTAAACTCATGAGGTAAATGTGGTGTCTTAGCGTTCATGCGTGGGTGTTACAGACTCGACTGAACAGTTGAAATGTCTTTAAACTTCCGGGACTTTTTTTTCAAAATCTACCCAGTAATGAAAATTGATAAATCCAGAAAAGTACTCAGTCTACTAACTGAAAACATAAACAGCAGTGACTAAAAATAAAGTAACCAAAGAAGAGTACTGTATGGTAAATGGAGTCTAGCTCCACTGAACATTTTTATCAACTGCACACAGTTCACTAAAACCGGATTTTGATTGTTTGCCTATACCTGATTGCTTCTCGGTGAGGGGGAGACTTCAACTTGACTTGAAACTTTGGTATGCTAACCTCATTGTGCTTCATGTGAAGTTGTTTGCTTTACTGTTTACTTTGTGCAGCGTTTTAAAGCCGAGTTGCCGTCAATGGTGCATATTAGACTGCGACATTTTTTTATCAACACGAAGATATTCTTGTAATAACAACACTCGTAGAAAAAAAAAACGAAATACACGAATTCTATATTTAGGCCTCAGATTGTATTTTTAGCAGCTTAGGGGTAAATAAAAATGTTGTGCGTAGCGTATTCATATCAGTATGTGTAGATTGCACAAGAATATAGTAAGGTACAACTTCACTTGAAATGCAACCATCGCCGCAAATCACAGAGTTAGGTACCAAAATATTCCTACAACTCAACTGCGACTGGACAATGTTTTACCTGCTCGGCAGCCGTACGCAGGGTTGGCGGTTGTCGCATCATCGGTCTCTGACTCAGCCTGAGACTGCTGCATGGGGGCGGTTCCTGGGGAAATATTTGGTAAAAAAAATCATTCTCTAGAATCATGCACGTTGTCTAGAAATATGTAGAATTATTTGGGATAACTACGCAGTGGATCGTACATATGTGGATTTTTTTTAGCAAACTATGCAGATATATGCAGTTGTGGGGTCGTGTGGCGTAGAGGCAGAGTGCTCGACTCGGAGGCAAGAGATCCCGGATTCTAGTCGTGACATGCCACCGATCTTGTGCCCTTGGGAAAGGCACTTTACGCGACTTTCCTCTCTTAAGTCAAGTGAAAATGAGTATTGGCTTGTCCTGTACTTGTACTTTGTGTTGGTGGCGGCATAAAATAAGATATAGCTTGAGTGTGCCGTCGCTATGTCTGGTCATAAAATGTTGGAATAAAAAAAACTATGACGATTGCGTTACCAGTTGGATTCTGCTGCTGTCTCGGCATGGTGTCTGCTCCTCGGGGTTCCTGACAGCAGAAACACGCCCTACACCAGACGCGGGGGCTTGCTGACTGAGCCACAGTCCTAGACAAATATGGCATAAAAGCTTTCGCAACATGATTAATATCGGAAAGATGAAGTGAAAAAATATTGTATGAAGTCTTAATTACACTCTCTATGCAGGATGGCCAAATTATATGAATAAGTAATTCTTTTTTGTAACTGAGCTCCGAAAAAACAAGTTAATGAAACATGCCTGAATTTTTAAAAATATTTTTATCTCGTAAAAAGTTGCCAGCTGTTTTTCGTGATTTTATCACATTAGGGTATGAATATTGTTTGATCCGTGTTCTTTTATTTTCGTTAAAACCACCCAGTACAAAGTCCGTATCTTCTATGCCTTTCTTTGTCTGGAGTCAGTGAAAAAGTCCTGACGTTGGATATGATCTCTCCCATTTATTTAGTACTGAAAATTATAGCACCCGCACTATCCCATTATTTACCAGAGGGGGATTCTATATTTCTCTATCCCTGCTATCCAATTTGCTCACCATATAGAGAAATTTTGGATCTAAGTGTAGATAGGCTCTAATCACTACCTGGTAAGGGGCCAAATGCGGGTCAGACTAATAAAGGGCGCTAAACAAACAGAAGGCTGTACAGCAATCCTTGCCAGCAATATAACATCTCCAGTATGGTTTATTTGCATAGAAAATTTATAATTCGTCAGTTATCAAGTTCCAATGTTCGTCAATCGCCTAGTTCCAAGAAGACGACCTGAATTCAACTGAACTAGGTTAGCATTATTTGGTGAAGGTATGATGTCATTGGTGTGGTGGAATTGGTTTACATTGAAAGGTGTTATCCTGTGATGGTTATGTCAGTGTAAATCCATATTAAACAAGAAAAAACGCTTTTCAACTTCTAATTATAACCATAATGGTTTATATGTGTACACTCAAAGAATAAGTATTTTATATGTATTCAACGGAACCATATACAAAAGTTGTAAGTCATTTATCAAAGTAGGCCCTTATTTAAAAAAAATGAAGTTTGATTCGAACATTGGCAGTCACACATTCTGCAGGAAATATCTGCTCTTTTCTTCCCTTGAATCGCATTTGCTTTCAAAGGTCCCAAAGCTACTAGCATGACATCATCACATGTTAAACGTACACAGTCATGTACTACTCGCATTTTTTACAATGTAAAGAAATAGCTCGTTCAACTCGTTTGTTTGCTTTATATTCTTCCTTTCAAGATGCCTAGTGAATGGAATGTGAATCAGCAGTACCTAATCTATTCGTTTATGTGCCTACAACGTCTATGATGTTGCCTTTCTTCGATGTTGTTCTTAGCTTAAAGTGCATTTTATTGACGTTTTGGTTCATCGAAATATTCAATATGTTGACTGCAACGCCGATTGGCCAGAACTAGTTGTAGCCTTGCTACGATACCTATTTTTACGGAGATTACGAAACTTAGCAGTTAGAATTGGCATGGTAAGCAGACGTTCTCAGTGTGTGTTGTTGGTTCCTTTCTCCTGTTAGTTTCCCGGTGTTACGTGTGCCTCCTACACGCCGTCCTGTTGGACCTGGAGCGCCCTGGTGTGGCGGTTGTGGCGCACAATCGGCCAGCGAGTCAGCCACGGCCCGTGAACGGTCGTGTCAAACTCGTCCACATCTTCACCCTGATAAAATAAGACAGCAACAGCTTTAATCTGAGGTCATTGATTTTGTAAGACGCCTATCTAGTCACTTGAGGACTGCAATATGGGCACTAAGATATGTGAATCGAACTTACTCCCACTTCCTAGAGTTATTTACTTTGAAGGCCATATCTGCAGCCCCCTGTAACTGCTAGGGGCTAGCTACAATTATTACTACTATTTTGTACCATTTCCTAAGTTACTCGGAATTTGACCTCTGGCCCTCCAAAGACCAATGACCGACTGTTGTGCTTAATTTATGTTAATTTAATTTATGTTATATTATCTTTTCTGTATTCTTGTTTGCATTATATTCTTGTTTATTTATTATGGGCTCTCTTGGAAATCAGCCCCTCGGGGCTGAAGAGACTACCCATATGTTGTTAAGATAAACAAATAAATAAAAAGGGGGCCAAACTGAATTAAATAATAATTATACAACTCTATATATTACTCAGTATAAACCTCAAACGGCAATGTCACCAAATAATTATCATAGATTGCCCATAAAAGTAATAACATAAGGTACAAAAACATTCTGCCACAGTTCAAAAGCCGCCTGGGGACCCGAAATTAGACTTGCTCTTTGTTTTGCTAACACCTACCAATATACTCAAATACCATACTGGTCAATCTAGAGGTGCTTTAGAATTAATTCTTAATAAAATGTATTCCTGCACATTTCTTAATATTCTTAGTGCGATCGCAATAATGTAAATCAATCCCTCCACCCCTGAGGCGTAGACAAAAAATACACTCACAGACAGCCCAGTGCTGCTCTCTAGTTCGCTCCCGCGATCCGCATTGAAGAACTTGTCCCATTCGTCCTGTGGCACCACGTACATCGGGTCCCTGGCCGTGCGCATTAGAACAGGCTTGCGCTTCCCCCAGAACCCGCTAGGTTTGTCAGGGTGCTGCCAACGCAGGTCCAGGCTCCAACGGATGTTATCCGTCTTATTCGGGAGACTGTGAATTTTACGGAAGTAGCTTCAGTTACATTTCTTTTTAATAAGGCCTCACCGACTTCATTTTATGGATGACATCCTCTGAAGACCCCCAAACTAGTGCGCGCGGGCGAAAAAAAAAAAAAAATCGGCCAAAAACAAAAATGCTACTAAGCCACAGAAATAGGAAGCTGATACTGTGAATTACCAACAGTACATAGCGACGTACACGACAAGCCGGCTTTTTGTGGAATTTATTAATCGGCACTGTACGTATGTACTGTGTTCTTGAGTCGTGGAGCTTTGGTGCCATCGGTGCCATCTCCAGAGTTACCAACGGCTCCGTATTGTCGCTAACTACCATAGAATACCCAGGCCTAGAACCAAGTAGAACCAAGCCAGACGTGACCTTTTTTTTGAGAACAGGTGAAAATCAATGCGCGCGTGGATGTCATCCATAAAATTACGACAGTGTGGCCTTATAGTGACATCCATAATGCCCGTAACAGACGTTCTACAACATCAACAACAAAAACTGCTTTTACAGCAACTGCAGCTACGATGACTGTACCGTCATAACTAAATAAATGTTCGTCGTATCTATGTCTATCCACTTTTATAAGAGTACGTATTTAGGCAATATCAATGTTTAACTAATACCTCCTATGGGGGATGGCATTGTTGATGAACAGGACACCCCCATAAGGAACCTCACACGTCACGATGTCCGTCTTAATATTAACACCTGAAAGACAGAACAATGTCTTCATGAACGCTGATCGTAGGCTCACAACTGTTACGAACAAATGCTTTGTACTTCAAGCCCTCCATAGTACTTTGCCTCTTTCATATACTTATAGTATAACTGAGTTATAGGGACGATATGGAGGTAGCAATGAGTGGGTGGTATATGTATAAAAATACCGATGCTGGATACTGGGTTTTTCTTCTGCACAACTAGATATTCTCTCACATTGCTTACATTTTACTGTCTACCTGACACCGATACGCAACTTAGATTCTTGCTAGAGTTCTACATTTTGCCGCTATATTTAGCCGATGTAGGTGAGAGAATCACCGGTTGTGTATATGAAAATCTTCATATCCCTATGTTTTAACAACTTAATGGAATTATTTCAGGATAACGATATCGTTTTACAAAACACACATAGAAATGGGTATGTTCTGCAAAGGAGCAAGAAGATTATGCCTTCCATTGTAAATGCATGTAACACCCATCCGAAAATATCCCCCTTTGTTCAGAAATGTTACCGTTTTACTATACAAGCTGAGGTTTGAATTTCGTCCTATTTTTGGCGTGTTTTTAGGCTTTTTTATCGGAGTTTAAATTTCTTTTTTTTTTTTGCACTGGGATTTTTACGCCAACCCAACTACTGCCGGCACTCACCCTGGGGCGGGGCAAACCTATTCAAGAAACGTGACGTCGACAGTGCTCCTCCCCGGGAACCATCAAATTATCATTTGGGATATCCATTTTACTAGCACGTCGGCAGAACGTACTGCACCTGCGCGAAACCCGTAATATATTGTACATAGCACTTCGGTAGAACGTTTCATGTAAGGTCGTATTCGTGCATATAAGGTTAGCATCCTGTCTGTAGTTTCCAAATGTTATGTCGGAAAAGATTTCCTCTGCAACAGGCAAAATTCTGATGCAACGGTGACCAAAAAGCCATCGAAAACCGTGATAATACAGGGTTTCTGCGCAGGCGCAGTACGTTCTGCCGACGTGCTCATTTTACTGTGGTGGATTATCACATGTCTAGTGCGTCAGAGCGGCGTAAACGATACCAGTGCAAAAAAAGACCCCCCCTACCAAAAAAAAACCGAACCCCCCCCCCCAAAAAAAAAGCCACCCCCCCCCAAAAAAAAAAAGCCTACAAACACGCCAAAAATAAGCCCAAACGTATGCTTGGTCAGTACAGACATGTTGGCCAGGTTCCCGTACTTACCCAGTGTCTTCTCCATCTCCTCCTCCAGGACTTCCACGTACCACGTCCCTCCCACCACCCCCACGTGGTCGGCTGTCACTCCCCTGCGGTGGCCTCCGCGCACAACCTGGATAGTAGAAACCACAACACAATTTCAGCTTAAAACTGACGAGTTTATATACAAATCCTTTCACTGTGATGTTACAATCAGTTTTGATATCGTAATTGTATTTTATTGTTTTGTTTCATTTACCCGTTACCTAAGTTATTTCTTATTCATCCGATTTATTTGAATTGTTAATCAGGTTATGAAGGGCGGCCTCCTCATAATCATTTTTATGCTTCCGGCCTCCATGCACTGTTACATTTCATTTATATTTTCTTGTATTTGTATTGTTACATTTTGCTTTAAAGTGCGAAATAAACTGAAACTGAATATTATGCTACAGAACCTGATATGAGAAGTGCTGCCAAAGTGCTATGCACAACACATTACTGATTACGCGTTCTGCCGACGTGCGTCTGTAACGCAACTTGGTACAGTAGTTCTGCTCGGAATGCTGATGATATTCCGATCATCCACATAAAGGTACCTGCATACAGCCGTTCTCCACAGTAGCGTCTAGCAGAGGGATCCACGCAACCGGAATCAGCGTACCCAGGGACTCCGGGAGAGTGTAGCAGTTGTCTGTAGGAATACAAGTGACTTTAATAGTTCATGGTTATCATACGTTAAAGCTCGACTACTCCTACCAAAAAATATTCCATTGTGACAGTCAAGAAATAGTCATTCAAATCTGCCTCCGTAAGTTTTCTGTTCATACGGGTAAATCGTGATCGCATACTGTTAAGTTAAGATTTTGATACATTCAAACACATCTGTATCACGTATATTTCCAGTTAAGATCAAATCAAATTGAATGAGCCTATACTACTAGACACAGGCTACTCATGAGAAGACGAGAAGACCTCAGTAAGCACAAGTAAGGGTCAGAGTAGTTCTTATTTTATAAATGGAGCAGGGCAGATTAGAGATCAATACTCCATAACTAGAGAATGTTATATACTGAAGGTGGGTACTGTACGGGTAAATGTGACAGGTCGTACTGGAAAATACTAAAGGAAATTATGATTATCTATGCATGGCTGGTATCGGGCAGGCTATTATTTGGCTTCGCCAGCCGAATGTTTCAAGGTGTATAAAACATTCGGGGCATTGATTTGTAAAAACTTCAGTTAGTATTACAAATACCTTAGATTTACCACCGCAACCTCTCTCGTCTACTGTTGTATTTACACCTACTTTTAATATTCTTCTACTACTTATAGTTAGGAACTGGGTTACCTTGGTGCCAGGGCACAGTTGTCTCATCATTACTCGGTACCTGTGGAACAGGGTTGGAAAAGTGTTTATTGTGGCCATCAGTATGGTCAGTCTGTAAGTTTGTGTTTCGAACAAAAATGTTTCAAAACTAGTTGAAACATACGCATTAATAAAGTAACTGTGCTTACCTCAACTGGGTTAGTAACCAATCTAACAATTAGTTGTAGGGGTGTTTTTATTAAAAACACAAAGGATAACTGAATAAAAAGGATGGGTGTCCATAATTGACAAAAATGAGAGCATGTAGCAAATGATTTTGTTGAAACTGACGATGAATTTTCATCGCGCATTCGTGGTGTTTGTCCGTTTACCTTCGGCCGGAGGTTCCAGAGCGGATTCCCGGCTATCTCCGGCCCCACCAGCTGCTCCATGACATTCAGCAGGCGGTCGTTCACCCAGAGGTCACAATAGGCCTGATCAGCAGAGGTAAAGTGCACGGTGTTTGCGGACAGATCCATATCTTATGCTTGCAAGAAGTGATGACACACATGCGGGCCGTTAACATTAAGTGATGTTTTCTTCCGTAATGTCAGTTATCAGTGCATTAATGCATTTAAACATTTGTGAGAAAGGCGTATTTCAATTAAAATTTCAAAGTAAAAATTTGTTTTCATAGAATATCAACGTTTCAAGCAGTGTATTCTCCCCTTTTCTAGTACATTGTATTAATTTCTCATTGTTAACATACTGTGTTGTGCTGACATGAAATATGGTTGACATGATAAGGTGGACGCAATTGCAAATGTGAATTAATTTTAAATCAACCAATAAAAATCATATGTTTGTAGATATTTACAAATTGAATATTGCAAATATGATTCACCTTGTGAATCTTGCCCTCCTTTAACAGCAGTGCGCATGTCCCAGGAAACTCTTCCTCGATTAGCGTCAGTCGTTGGAACAGCCCTGCGTCCCGGTACGTGTCTGTGTACGTCAGAAAAGATTTTAACCCCTTAAGAAAAGTGTGTGTGTGTTTCCGCACATTTGTAGTCAGCATAACTTCAGAACGCCTTTATGGATTCTGATGATATTTGGTATGCTGGTATGTCTTAGGAAGCCAAAGGTCAACGTCAAATATGGGCCTCTTGGTAGCTGACCTTGGTACTGTAGCAGAACTTCCGGTTTTTGTATCTTTTTGCAAGGCAGGTAAAACAGATGTGCGGGTTATGCAACAAAACACCAGCTGTCAAAGAGTTCCTCTAACGCATAGTGTGGAAGCATCGCTGTTTGGTTTGATTATTGAGGTTCTTCCTCTGAATTAGGCTACATGTACAGTTGACCAGATTCTATTACAGCCTGACCTATTTCAGGCCAAAGGTGCTACTGTATTAGCAACTGTGTGTTTGAAAACAAAAACATGTGTTATTTTGTTCTGTACTATAGTGTACTGTGTAAAAACATTTACAAAACTCACATATTTCATGGAGGTATGAGATCTCTGAATTCATGTTCTTACATAAAACAATGCAGTAAAGACAAATAGTCAAAAGGGGCCAATAGGTTTATACCAGCTGCTTTTATACTATGCTCTTTTCCATTGAAGTTAACACTATTTAATTACTAATTACCATACTAAAATATCAATAATAAGTACGAATGTGATAAATGCAAGATAAAAGAACAGAATTATGTATATAATGATAGCATACTCTAAATGAATGCAATTGAGATATTACATTAAAAAGTAAGTATTATTATTTTTAAGTATGTCAATGTATAATGATATGGATTTTATTGAGTAACTAGTAATTTTAGTGTGTTATGCCAGATATTGTCAAAAATCAAAATTGTACAGCAAGACACAATTTAGCTGATGGCTACAAGTTTTTGTTTTTACAAATAAACCATTTGATTGATTGATTGATTGATTGATTGATTGATTGATTGATTGATTGATTGATTGATTGATTGATTGATTGATTGATTGATTGATTGATTGATTGATTGATTGATTGATTGATTGAAAATCACAGTACAATCAAAGATACACCACAAATCGGGTACAAATCAGTATATGGCACGGTGAAATGTTATAGTAAGAAAGATGTGATGATTAAAGCAACTGAGATATTTTATAACTGAAATGCGTTTTCACGGCGGTCTGTCACTACGGCATTCTTTCCCATTGCTGGGGGCGTTCGATAAAGTATCGGGTTACAAGATGCAATTTTGGGCTAACCGTAAAACATTTGAAAATAAACAAACTAGTATCGAAGGGAAAAGTTCGTTGAAATAAAATAAAATCCTCGTCTTTACATACATTCAATGGTGATTTTTTGCGCTAAAAGGATGATTTTTTCGGGTTTCGTTAAAAAGTCGATAATTTATGGGATTTCGGTGCGCCATATTTTAGCCAATCACCGAGCAAACCTGGCTACACATATTACGCAAGGTCACTGATTTTTATATTTTTCGACGACCAGGAATAAGATGAAAAATCGTGCTTTTGGGATGTTTTTAATTTTTGACTTAAAGTATAGTTTTTGTTGACAAATAGGTGAAAAAATCGATTTTTTTTTTGCTTTTTCACACTTAATTACCCATAATTCAAAATCAAGAGCATTTTTCGAAAATCCCTAAAGCACGATTTTTGGGACAACGGTGGCAGTCATTTTGAGCCGTAAGTGGGGTATGTTTGACTCTTCATGCTTCTAGGTTTGAACGAGTTTTGCAGACATGTCATATCTCCCAAAAGTGTGCACCGTGTTAATCATAAAGGCGTAAAGAATCATTACAGTATTCAAGGTTACCCAAGTATACGACAGTAGCTTCGCTACATGTTACATGTCCACAAAAAATGATAGCGGACATGTACTGTCCTGTAAACTGTTTGTATCTATAGAAAAGTGTTGTTTTTTATCTGTTGCGAGGCTTGTTTTGCCGCTTTATCATGCAAATGACCGCAGGTGACCCCGAAATGGAACGCGGGTTCGATTCGAATTGCCCAGATCGAACACGATCAAACACTGTTCGGATTCTATGAAATGTGGGAACTTTGCAGCCCAGATTTTACCACCGTGTTTAAACGTAAATAGTGGAGCTAACAACGTTTACACATGAGAACACTAAACAGCGGCTAGAACAGGGTGACAATGATTTACTGGACTATAGTTGCATGCATTATCTTACACGATAATTACGAAATCATTACTATTTTACAAAACTATATATCTCTTTCGTCCTACAAAGAACATACAACGAAAGTATTGAACATCCGAAAAAAACCCTTTCCTCTTTGAAAGGCACATATATTACCATTTTATGCTTCCCCCCTTCAAAAATAAACTTAAATTTTCACCTACCCGATAATATATCCAGCGATTAACTCTACTTTTTTTAATGACGTCCTCTGCCTTCCATATTTCCCTAACTTTTCAAACGATTAGAAAAATATATAACTCACTCTTTATCTTGCCAGCCTTGTAGAGCCTTTCTGCCAAAGCGTCCACCAGTTCCGCGGTGCCATCTCTGCAAGGCTGCAGTTCTTCGGGCGTAAAGAAGTCCTTCACTAGAACAAATCCCTGTAGGCAGATACCAGAAGAATAGTGTAACTTGATCTGTATGATACCATACAAAACTGCACAGCCTTTTACTCTGAATCAGAGAAAGATGCCTGTAACACATTCAGGACCCCTCCACCGACAATGTTCGCGAATACCAGCCGACCAAGATTGGCTGAAGATCGGGAGTAGTTTTTGCAGATTTAGACCACCTTTTTTCTATACAAGTTAAAATGAATCTGAGTTAAATTTGACCTACTAATACACCCCCAAACACTACTCACTTATTCCCGAATGGCTGGTTAGCGTTCTGCTGACTTAACGTTGAAAGCCAGCCAACCATAGCCAAACCTTCCAAATAAAACCCGAATGTTTTAAACATTTTGAAACATTCGTCTGGGGTATCTGAACAGTAACCGGCCTTTCAAAACACCAGCCGACCTTGCTTCCAAGCTACTTCTAACCGTGGTTGGGAGGTGTTCGGGTGGTCAAATT